ACAACTCTATGGGGTATACTTCTTTGAGCCTTTCTAGGATGGATACATTGATTTGGAGAGGATTTTTTGTGGGGGGAGGGGGGGGCGAGGGCTGTTTGTGTTCTTTTTGTTTGCTTTGTTTTGTTTTGGAGGAGGTGTTGGTTTTGTTTTGTTTTGTTTTTGTGTGGGGGGGGGGAACTTTAAATACATAGGCAAAATTCTTTAAACCAGTCTTGCACACACGTATAAAAGTGTCGTGAAAGCACAGTATAAAAACGGTACCTTTCCCTGCGAAGTTAGTTTCTCAGACGTGTGTGGACGACACCAAAGTTTTTTCCTCCCAAGAGCAAGGTCACTGACTTGAGTAGTCAGACCGTAGCTGACTCTTGGGAGGAGTACATTTCAGTTATTTATAAGATAAGAATAGCCAATGCCTTGATCACAATTACCTTTTGTAAGGGGGGCTTATTTAGTAGGAATCGAGGCTTGATCTTATTATTTCCTTATCGATCTGTCTATCTGTCTAGCAATCCATTTGTCTTTCATCCACCTTTCACTTTTTTTATCTATCTATCTATCCATCTATCTATTTATCTATCTATCTATCTATCTATCTATCTGTCTATCTATCTATCTATCTATCTATCTGTCTATCTGTGTACTAGCTAGCTAGCTAATAATGTTGGGTATGAATGCATAAACTATGAATTCAGAGACACAACGAACTACTCATAAAAAATAAAAAGCCACATTTCAGACTCATAAAAACTCATCCGCTATTTTTCAAATGGTCAAACACAAGATTAAAATTACACTTGTAATCGTGTTCTGCCGACCCTCAACCCCACCTCCCCCACTCCTTAACCTCGACATCCCTGTTCTCATTCCTCTCTCAACTGCCATCAACCCCAAAACCTGAAATACTCAACCAGCAAAACATTGAAACACGGTGCAGTGGGATCAGTGACTCCTCAGTTTGGGGGGCATGTGAAGTTATTGGTGTCATCTTAAAACTTGTTCATTTTTTCTTTCTTTTGATGGAAAAAAATGTCCTTCTATCGAGATATATTCAATTCTAAAGGGTGGAGGTCGCTTGGTATCAGTATCAGGGGTGGTAAAATTGGTGAAAGAAAGAGAGTGGGGACCAAAGTCTATCTTTCTCATGAATCGTAAGAATCTGAACATCTGTAGCTCTGTTATCCAACAAGTTCTTTTCACCCCGCAGCTCTAAAGAAATACAAACAAAAGTTCTTTTTACTTGCCAGTGTCTGTGGTGTAACGGATAGGCTCTTTGCTGTTGTCCCCGCGAAAGAAGTGAATTCGATTCTTGAGTTTTTATTGAGTATATTATCTGCCTGTTTTCTGAAAAAAAAAACACTGAACCCAATCTGGCCTTTACATACTTGGCCGAAAGGAGAAGCATTTCGGCTCTTAAATTATCTAAATTGTGTCGGTACTGACGATTTCCGATTTTTTCCAGGGTTTTTTTCCGTTATTATCACTGAACTCTTTTTGCAAAGCAGTTACTGTGTTTATCTCTTGTTCGTGGACAAGACATTAGAGCAAAGGATTACAACATGTGAAATGCGATGCCTTAGAAGAGCAGTAAACAAGACCAGGCGAGACAAAATTAGAAACACAGTAATCAGAGAAATGGTGGGCACAAACGATGCCATTCATCACATCCAACACCAAAGAATCAAATGGTTCGGACATCTCATGCGATTACCAACACACACCCAACACAACGTGCCTACATTTTTTTAAAATTCGATGGCAACATGGCTAGAGGATACTGAGAAAGACCTGGATAGATGGAGTCAGGGAAACATTAACAATTCACGGCATCCCCCTGACCCAAGCTCTCCGGCTGGTGGCAGAGAGACGTCTCTTTCTTTCCGCGACACCCAAAAGGGTATAAGCGTCTGATAAAAGAAAGAAAAGCATTTCCTTTCTGTTTAACCACATATTAGTTGGTCTCTTAAACAGGTTTGAGGGAGGGGGGTCTTTTTTGTTTATCTGTTTGTTTGCCTGTTTGAAGACCGATTGTTCAGTGTAAAACTCCGCTGTACACCATTTTGAAAAATGACGTATGACGGCGTCTTACACTGAGCAGTCGAAATGTAACATTGTAAATTTTCCGGATTTTTTCTCCACCAAGTCGCAGTGGCATCGGTGGCTTCGGTAGTCTAGTGGTAAGGCTACAGGACCCGTGATCATGAGGTTGTGGGGTCGGGGGTTTGAGCCTCAGCTCTGTTCGACTTTGTGTTCTTGGGAAAGGCACTTTACACGAATTTCCCATTTGGCTTGGTCCTTTCAGAGATGGATGTTGAACTTGGAGGTCCCGCCTCACCAGTGACATCTCTGTACAATAAACTTTAACAATTACTCGTACTGACAAAGCTTCTGTCTCGTGTCCCCAGATGTACCTGTTTATCCAGACGTTCAACATCCCACTGTCTGCGCTCATCATGGTGGCCATAGCCTTCGACCGGTACTTCTGCATCTGCCACCCGTTCCTGCACGTGGTGACAGTGCCGAGAGCGAAGATCTGTATCGTTCTGCTCACATTCGTGTCGGTGCTGCTGGGTGTCGTGCCGACACTAGCACACGGGGTCTACTATTACGAGGACGTGGCGGTCTCCGTGAACGACACGATCGCTAACAGCCAGGATGCGATGGCGAACGGGGATTTTTTGCGAGACAGCTCCTCGGGATTCGGTCCTGCCTCTCCGTCCTCGTTAACTTCGTCCCCATCCTCGTTGTACTCGTCCCCTCCCTCCCCTCTTTCGCTGGCGTCTGCCTATAGTAGAAACGACGATGCCAAAACGGCTATCGCCTTCATCGGCTCTACGGTTGCTCCTCTAGGCTCGTGGAAAACGACGAGCGAAGACACGCTCTACACTAACGGGCTGTTTCTGGAACCGGATGAGGATTTCATTAACGACCTCGCTGGCCACAGCAGGGGGTACAGCTATGAGACGGATCTGGCTCGCACGGCGTCGACTTTTCCAACCCTCTCCACCTCCTCGCCTGTCTCGGGCTCCACAAGCAACACATCGTCTTACTTCTCTATATTGCTGAAAGAGAATGGCACTTCACAGCCTGCTCCTCAGAAAAAACTCCGCTTTTTGGGACATTGTGTCATGAGCAACGTCATTTTTAGCGAGGAGGCCACGTTCTTTTACCAGAAGTTCTACGCCGCGCTTTTCTTGGTCGAATTCATTGTCATTGCTGTTCTATACGCGCTGATCTATCGGTCTATATTAGTGCGTCGCGCTTGGAAAGCGAAAAGGAAGCGAATGAGCTGTTACGCCAGCACCAACTGTCCGGAAACAGTAGCCGAAGAGACCCAGCTGACCAACATCAACGGCGCCGCCACAGAGAATATCCAGCCCAAAAAGAACCCCCGGATTTCGGCGACGATGCGGGATCGCACTCTTTACGCTAACATAAAAACCGCAGCCATGCTGTTTGTAGTCACCATCTTCTTCGTCTTGTCCTTCCTGCCCTCGTGGTTCATGGGCCTCAAGGTAGTTCACTTTAACGTCATCGTGTTCTACATGTTCTACATCAACAACGTCATCAACCCTATCGTGTACGCCTTCATGAATCGGACTTTTAGAGATGACCTATTTCAACTCCTGAAAAGCTGCATAAGACATTGACCTTTGACTTAGCTCTTCCCTAAAGAAAAAAACACGGTAAATGTAAAGTACAACACCCTCGCCCCCACCCCACTCCACCCCACCCCACCCCCAAATGTATTCGCACATCATGTGATCACAGCCCGTTGTTACCTGTTCCTGTAAGACATCGCTACAACACCACCCGCTGTGATCTCCCTGCAGTGACCCTGGATGTTGCGCACTAGGCCGAGATGGCGGGGGAGGGTTATACTTTACATTTACCGAAAAGACATGTTTGACATAGACCGTTGGATTGGACTCTGGACCCATGACTTGCCTGTAGAGAGTCTGAAAAAGGACTACAAATATTGAGACACTCCGTTCCGAAGTTGGACATCGACTCTTGAAGTGTAAACGGTGAATTGTGAGTGGTTTTCTTTACCTTTCTAAGGAAGCGGAATGCTTTGAAATCCCTCAGCATCGCCAGTTTCGAACAAAAGTCAGTGAAGACAGGACACGTTGAAGCTCATGTGTTTTGTTTTGTTTTTCTGACGTTGTCTCCGCTGTCAGCAGATTGGGCGTTGCACCGTTGCCCTAATCCGATGCTGTTGAAGGCGCATGTGGTTTAGAGGTCATAGTATACTGTATGTTTGTGTTCGCACGCGTGTCTGTGTGTGTCTGAGAGAGAGAGAGAGAGAGAGAGAGAGAGAGAGAAAGAGAGAGAGAAAGAGGGAGAGAGAGAGAGAGAACTATGTGCCTGTGTGAGTGTGTGTGTAGGTGTGTGTATGTGTGTGTGTGTGTGTGTGTGTGTGTGTGTGTGTGTGTGTGTGTGTGTGTGACGTACAACCCAATACTTATTACGCCATTTCGTCGAATAACAGGAAACAATGATATACTACTTCTAGTGGAATTGTCGATTGGATTTGGTGCCTTTTCTTCAATATAAGTGACGATTACGTCCTTAAGTGACGATGTGACCGTAGGGTTATCATAGCTTACACAGTGAAATACAAAATCAAATTTGTAACGATATCTTCTTGAGATAACCGTGTGACGATAGGGTCACTTTAGCTTGCTATGAACTACAACAAGGCAAAATTCTCGTCAAATAGCCTCATGGAGATAGTAGGTGTTATCTAAGTGTTCCCAGCCGTGATGTAGTAGACTAAAACCTTTATCTACAACAGAGTAAGTGGAGGTTCCAATCCGAGTGTGGTCCAAATCATTTTTCTCCTCATACTCGAAATATTTCGCCACCTTAGAATTACAAAGTTCCATGGGCTCCGTTCCAAGTTTTGAGAAATTTGATGTATACAATTTTGAGTTTCACAAAATGTCTAGCTTTTTTTAAAGCAATTCGTTGAATATTTTGAAAACGACTCCAAATAATCTTACGATTTTGATAGAGCCGACAGAACATTAATTAGTTTCTGACCTCATGGTCTTTGTAACTCAAAAAGGCCCCCCAAATTTTTTTTTAAGTCTGAGAGAACGTTATATTTCGAAGGTAGCAATTTATTCCTCTCAGCCCGGTGTACTGACAAAAGGCTCAAACTCCTACTTCGGAAATAACAAGTGTGATGTCAAATAAAAGAACGTGTCACTTGCACAAGGGTGATAGACGTTGAGGATCAAACTATCCAAGAGTTGGACACATACGCATATTATTATCTAGTCAAGTCTCTGTCTTTCTACGTCGATGCTGTATCCCATACAAACTCGGTAGCCCTGACAGGCAGGGCTGAAGCTAACACCTCCTCATTGGTCTTATGTCCATCTGTTTTTTGTTTTTATTTTTTGTAAGAGTTTCGCGGCATTTGTAACACAATTCGATCTTAGAAGTGCCGGAGATTAGAAGTGTTTCAAGAGAGTAAAAAACTAAAGAAGAAAGAAGAGAGATAAGGAGATAGATGTTTGATAGGAAAGATGGAGTAAGCCACACCAGAACACCCACCAACCACCCACATGATCAATCTGATTAGTCTCTCGCTGATATTGTTCGAGATACACAAAAATACAAAAAATCAAACAAATAAGGTAACAACGATGATTTGTAATTTGTTAATGTTTTCACACCCATCGACTCCAGTCGGATCATGTAGAAGGAGGCCCGATTCTAACCTGTCTGCCAGGGCAAACCTCGTCTGAATGAGACACCTAATCACAGAAAAAAGACAGAGACGCTCGAAATTCTATGAGATAGTGAGACTTTCCCCCACAATGACCGAACTCGCAACTTTTGTTTTTGATAGAAATAAACGATCAAGATTGTATCTATTGGGTAGCAGAAACACTATCATTTCGTCACGCTCCTAGAATGATTGCCTTAGGTCTGTTTGGGTTTTGTTTTTTTTTTGTTTTTTTGGCTTGTTAAGAGCTTTGGGTTCTGAAATGAAGAGCTGAGCCAGCGGAGTAATAATATAGTTCACTTGGACAAAAGAATAATCCAGATTTTAAAAAATCAATTGAGTGTACCAAAAGTCCGGCGTTGTACACGGTCAATGTTCGAAAGAAACAGTTGTTTTGGTGGGGTTTTTTGTTTTTTCTCATTTCCGCAAAGTGGTTAAAAAATTACTCCGGCATTTATCTTATGAGCGTGGTGATTTAATTCGTAAGTGTCCAGGGACATTTTGTTCGTGGTTGCATGATCCCTTTAAAGTGAATGAAGATCGATATTTAGGACACCCTGGTCAGTTGCCTTCTGAGACTCTGGGAACTTGGTGGAACGAAAGGGAAGTCAGAGAATGCACGAGGCGTGACCATACTGAATTACTCATTTCTCAAGGGATGACTGATTGCATGCAATTAGTCTTGGAGACTGAAAAATTATCAGACTGCGTGTAGGCGAGCTACTAAAGGGATTGGTTTAACCGTATGGTCCCTTCTTTCTTAAGAGTAAGTGCTATAGTTGCATTGTTTTATTAGTTTTTTCGCAATCGTTTGATGTTTTATAAGAACATTTTGTCGTGACATTAGTTACTTGAAGGGTCAGAATCTTAAGTTGTACATCCTTTGTTTGGGATTGAATAGCATATAAAGTTTTTGAGTGCTTAATCGGCTGGTTGCACTGTATACTTCCTGGGGAAGAGAGAATGTTTCTTGGTAGGCTAGTATTTTGGCCGGTTAGGATTTGCTTGTCTTGATTTACTTGTCCAGGTTGGGACGGGGGCACCTTTGCGTGCATAACGAAAAGATTATAATTTTGTAAGTTGTTTTGTCTTGTAATCTAGTGTGTGTGGTAATACTAAAACATTTTTTTATGATCTGCTAAGGTAAAGCATTTGTTATGTAAAACGATACAGTAAAGATACTTATGAGCAAGATCAACATTTTAACGCCCATGTTCGATTGTATTCTTCCAAGTTTTTGGAGACCTATGAATGAAGAAGAAGAAGAAGAAGAAGAAGAAGAAGAAGAAGAAGAAGAAGAAGAAGAAGGGAGACAAATTCAATCAAAGATGAGTTTGCCACATTCCGAGAATATAAAAGTACGCTCGGCTCTAGTGCCTGGGAAAGTCTCATCGTACGCGAAACGTAGTGTAAGCTCATGTAACAGCAGGGGTTTTCTTCTGTTACAGAAAGGAGCAGAGCATGGCCTGTTCACCGCTAACACAAACATTCAACTTGTAGTAAGTTATAATAGTTTTACGTTGGAGTCTGCTTAAACCAACCACGGTAAATCGAAAAATGGCTTTAAATCGAAAGAAAATTGAATCTCTGATAACTCAAATTTATTTTTTGTTCCTTCTGTTTCAGCAAGCTCTCTAAACTGAAAACCCGACTAAACGGAAGAAAATCTGGCGGTCTCAACTGTAAGATTATGGTTAAAGCGGGCTACTTTGTAAATCACCATAGATGCATCTCCTGGGAGGAGAATTGAACATGACGTTTTGCCTGCAGTGCAGTCACTCACAGCACCACTTGAACCGCAATGTTCAGATTGTGTTTGTGTTTGTCGCTTTAGTTTATATAATCTCTGATCTGTATAGGATGTGTGTGCGATATGATTAAATTATTGAAGTGCAAAGTCACGTCAACATGGCGTTATTTGATGCCGTGATCAATTGAGGCTAGTGGATTTCGACATCAAATAACGGTGTATCATCCTCGGCTGTATGTTTTGTTTGTTTTATGTGGGCGCCCCCGTGAGAATCTGGGTGCCTCTCAGTATTTGATTTATTCGTTATCATTTATATGATTTTTAGTACATGTATATGGTTTGCTATCTCACGCTTCAGTTCCCTAGGTTCATAATTATTATATTCGATTGTAACCAAAAGGAAATAAAAATCAATCTAGCTAAATCGGGATGGTTGGGGGAGAAGGAGAGGGGTGTATCATTGGCACTATCATGGACGTCATAATATGACAAAATCATGAAGGTCACTTCTCTAGGCTCTGTCCATCACAGGTTCGTGCAGATCTTGCACTGCTATGTAATGTTAGCCTATCGCAGACAAACGTGCTCTTTCTTGAACTTCATCGATTCTATCTCTTATTAAAGGTAAAAGTTGGCTCCAAAATCCTTTTTGTTAGCCTCTAATAGCGAACTTTGACACAACTAAGATTTAGAGCAAGATATGAAATCACCTTAGCTTTATGGAGACATTTTGGCATTGAATTTACGAGACTTAAATTTGCTTCACCATTGATTAATTTACTCCACTGATGGTCCGTGTGTGTGCTTGTCAGCTTAGGCATCCTCCCTGAGTTTCATGGAGATGTGTGTTTTTTTTTGGGGGGGAGAGGGTTAGAGTAGTTTACGACTTAAAATGGTGTAATGGTATAGGTTTAACGCCCCTATCAACACTATAAGGTTATTTAAGAGGCAGGACCTCCTAGTTGAACGTCCATCTCCGAAAAGACTGAGCCAATATTGGGAAACTGGTATAAAGAGCCTTTCCCAAGAACACAACGTCGAACCGAGCAGAGGCTCGAACCCCCGAACGCAGTCTTAAGAGTTTGGGTCCGTTGGCCTAACCACTGGGCTACTGACGCCACAGTTTACGGCCTGTCCTTCTGTCATGATTATGTCAAGGAATGAATTCATTCAATAATTGTTCTTGGGTTGTGGTTGTTTTTTTTTCTTTTGTGAGGTGACAACAGGGGATTGAGATAGAAATAAAAGATTTAAGATAATTACCGTATCTGATATGTAGTGTGTTTAAAAAATGTGCGTGTACGAGTGTGTGTGTGTGTGTGTGTGTGTGTGTGTGTGTGTGTGTGTGTGTGTGTGTATGTATGTGTGTGTGCGTGTGATTCAAAAAGCAGTCCAGGGTCCCAAAATAGTTTTTTTAAACAGAATATGCACTCACAGTATAATATTCTAGTTCTAGGAAAAGTTAGTCCTTATTTCATTAAGCGCGTCTTTAGGTCAACATTTTATTGAACAAAAACATTATCACCATTTTCTAATATCTCAGCTTTCCTCTGACTTTTTATATCATGTAATGTGTCGCCTGGTTTATACTGGGGCGGTTTTTGTAAGGAGTCCAGTATTGTGAACATAATAAATTATGTACGGGGCTGAAAACTCTTATTCCCGTCTACAGCCTCTTTAGAATGCCCATAGGAAAATGTATTTGTAGATGATAGAACTCATCATAGAGTGAAATGATTAACCTGGGTTGAGTGACAAAATCTTACACCACCAATGCACCATGCTTCGTAGAGTTTAGAAAACCATTACAA